TTCTTTTACTGTCCCTAATATGCTTTGTGATGGCCAGGATACAATGGCCATTAAATCTTTATATATTATGGATCTTGCTGACTGCGGCAACACCCAGCTTTTGCCGAACTGCACAAAAGTGAGGAATCCTTGGGCTACCCTGGGGCATCTTGTTGCTGTAACACCATGCCACAGCAATTTGTTGCCAACTGCCATAAAACAACAAACAAACAAAAAACCTTGTTGGTGAGTGAGAGTCTGCATCAGACTGTCAGAGCACTCTGATACCTAGAACCACAAACAGAAATGGGATACGGCTGTACAATCTATAGAGGGAACATATAAAGGAAAAAAAACACACAATAGTGTAATACAATAAATACAGTGAATAGTGCGCTTAAATGGATGCACTCACAAGATGATGAAAATAGAAGAGCATTCATGAGGTGCCTCCCCAGATAGCATAGGGGGCTAGTGGTTCCCCTTTCCGGTGTAAAACGACCAATGGAACACGGGACTCCAGGTAAGTAGTAGTAAAAAAGCAATTATTTTATTTTCTTAAAAGGTGAACAAACACCATAAGAATAAAGGTTAAAAAGTGCAGCAATAGGTCCAACGCGTTTCGTTCACAACTAGAACTTCATCAGGGACCGCACAGTAAAAAATCACAGACAATATCATAGATTGTAAAATAACATCCTGTCTGATCCACTCTGATACCTGCCAGTCAATGCTGCAGTTATTCTCTGTGCCATGATATGCATGTGCCAGGCTATTTCTGGACTACCTCATAATTATACAGCCAACATATACTGTCCAACTGTTACCCAGGCTTGCTGATTAGCCTGGGAGCCAATCACAGAAATAAAATGCCTTGGAAAAAAACAGTGTTTATTCCTTACCCCATAGTGTTAAAACCACAATCTAGCCCCCCCTTTCCACCCTTAAATATAGTAAAATCTTACTTTTATTCCAGTCTGCTAGTGCTAGAGCCTCCTGGGTGATCACCCCCACCGGTCCAGGGGGGGTTTGCGGGGCTCCAAATGCTGTACGCATTTCTGTGTTCACCGTGCTGGGAGATCGCCCGCCTCTCCCCTCCCTAGCATCCACTAGGCCCAAGTGGCAGTGCGGCCGGACGACCGTAATGACCGCAGGGTGCGTTCCCAGAACGGTCAGTCGATTTGGGGGTTCAAGATTATGTTGCCAGTCGCTGATTGAGAGTCACCGTTTCAGGTAAGTATAGTCTTTTCCTCGATTCACTGGGTCCTCTCTAAAATTGCGTCTTGTTGATAAGCAGGCCCCGCCCCCCAGTACTTCTTTTTTCTGCACATTTCCTTAGAAATGCTCCCGCCCACTTGTTCCCACGTAGAGGGGAAGGGGCGGGAGCGAGAAATTGAAGCGCCCTCGTGCTGCTGCCGCCATTGGATGTCTGGGAGGGTGGTCGTGGCTGAGCGCGTTGATTGGTATGCCGCCGGACCAGTGTTTTACCGGGCACTAGTGAGCAGCAATGTAAGAGTTCCCTAGCGCCTGGGAACATAGCTGGCGGCACGCTAGAAATAATAGGTGGCGGCCCCCCTTTAAGCAGCGCCCTATGCGGCCGCCTCATTGGCCTATAGGAAGCGCCGGCCCTTCTTGGCACCATAACAACTACAGCATGTTGGTTAAGAAGCCCTGGTTTATACACTATTGAAAGCTAAGATGAGTACATTTTTTGGTGGTTTGAGGTTGGTGTTGCATTTCTAGATATTGATTTGGGAACTTTAAAAGGGTGGACTTTTTGATTTTGATATTTTATCTAATGGAACACTATATGGTCAGGAACACAAACCTGTATTCCTGACCCTATAGTGTTAAAAACATTATCTGTCCTCCCCTTGCCTCCCTAAATATTGTTTACCATTATTCCAGTCTGCTGGTGCTGGATCTGCCCCATATCTGCCTCCTTGGCTGACATCATCAGAAGTGGTGATCCACAATGCCTTGATGGTTATAATTGTGTTTCATCGTTAATGTGCTTTTCTTTCACTGCCGATAGCTAATAAGGCCACTAATATTCATTATTACCTCATTTAAGAGATACCTGTATATGTTCAATTTCAGTGCCCCGTTATAAAGATGTAAATTTAGTGCAGTTCAAATAAACTCAAAACGACATTAGAAAATAAACAATTAGATCTTTTTACACAAACAGGAAGCATATGCAAAACTGCAACCGCATATCCTGCTTTGTTAGCAGGATGTGAGGCAATGCATAAGTGTCACAAAAAAATAGGTTAAAAAGGAAATATTAAGGAACTACAGACTATGTTTAAAAAAGCTGCAGAGTAGAATACATAGATTTAATTTTGTTTTATGAGCAATTTCTACTGTGGTTTCTTTCATTGTAAACTGCTTGTATATTACCCCATTGTAGTCATTTTTGTCACCATTACAATGTTAGAAGGAGACTCCACTGCCCAAATCTCCATGAAAAAAATGAAAATAACTGTTTAGTAGATATACTTCCAATGCATTTAATTATGCAAACCTCTTGCCAAGGCTGGTGACTTTTTCCCCAGCCCAGACTTTTTGTGGCTGTTAAGTCACATACAGCAGCAGAGAGTAGACGGTACTTTCCAGTTGCTGTTCCCCACGATGCCGACATCTTCTTTCTTCAACTTCTGGCGCTTCATCCACCAGGAGCCCATGTCAGTGCTGTACTCTAGTGATTGAGCAAAGGTACCACACTAATGTCTATCCAGGATCCTGCGAGGAGCCTCCATAGATATTGTCTTGTAATAAGTGAGACAATGTCTTATTGCCCCGGCAATGCTACCGCCTGGGGGAATGGCAAATCTTGACAGAGGTAGTGGGAAAAAAAAGTACACAATACCTGTATTTTAGAAAAAAAAGACTGAAAAAGAATAAAGGAAGATCTGATAAGGAGTGAGGAAAAGAAGAGGAATAGCTTTATCTATTAACACAGTTTAATGTTTGTGCAATACGTTAGTCTGGTATGTAATTTATATAATGATACTTTACTACTTTGTATGCAGATATACTTTTTTTTTTTCTTTCTCCTTTTTCTCATTTAAAGGAAATATATGTACTTGTTTCACTTTCAAAGCAAGTTCCTATTGTACCTATTTTTTTATTGCCGAGTTCCTTTTGCCTGGAATAAACCTTCTCTTTTTTGCTACAAAGAGCTTTTTGCTTTTTCTGATGCCAGCTCAAGTATTATCTGCCCATCTTTACTTATCCTCATTAACAGAGCAGATCAGAAGTCTGTGCTTGCCAATAATGAATCATTCCTCACGCGGCTCTTTAAAGCTATGCCATGGAATTGCAAGCTGCATGGAAATTCTGTCCAATCTGCTATGCTTATTCAGCTTAAAAGTAATACAAATGTTCTCAACCATTCTTAGTTATTGCAACATCTTGTGAACAGGGCATAGTGAATGTATAGGAAAACATTAAAGGAACAGTCCAAGAACCATAGCTACTACTTAGTGTTGTAGTGGTTATGGTGCCAGGAATGCCCTGGGCTGCCCATTGTAAGTCTCCATACCATTTTAGAACGATCTGCCTGGCACCGCTTCCTGTCTCTACTACTTCAGACAGAAATAGTAAGTTCTTGAGCTAAGCCTTACAGTACACATTTAGCTCATTGGCTGACAGTGTCTAAAACAGTTTGACCACTTCTAATGGTGGGGCACCAGGGTACCCTTGCCACCATAAATACAACAGTGCACTGTAGTGGTTATGGTGCTTGAAATGTTCCTTTTAAAGAAAGTAAACCGCACAATATATATAAGACATAGATCTATACTAATAAACAAACCACCAACCTGTCATACTGATAACACAATACATATTAGTTATTTGTAACATGTAACAGGCATTCTTAAAAAGTTTGTAAAAAATATTCTACATCAGGGTTAGACGACAGGCAGGGCCGTCATAAAAGCATTATAGGCCCCTAGGCAAAGTAGTGCACTGGGGTCTTAACTACACATTTGTAGTTTGCAAGCCTATGGGGCTCTATGCTCGTGGTACCCCCAGTCAGCTTGACCATGTGTTAAGACAACCCTGATGGCAGGTAACATCTTGCTGCACTTTAATTCCCATAGTTCTCTGCTAGGATTTTTATCACTAGGGCAGTGAAGACTCATGTCCTTTGCTTTCAAAAATGAAACCTTGCCACTTGGAGTGTAATAGGCAGGGAGGCAATTTACTTGTCTTCCCACAGTTGATAGTGCGGGTCTATGAAAACCCATTTAAAAAAAAAAAACAAATAAAAAGATTCGGGAGAGAGCCAATTTACTCTTTTTTGTTACATACTGTGGTCTCACACACCCCACATTTTCATTTTAAATTTAAAGCCAAAATTTATATATTTTGCACAACCTAATAACCAAGTTTTGTTTTTTTTGCAATATAGTTTACATTGCATACCCTGCTGCCCCAGCACCAAACAATTAAAATTATTTATATAGTGCCACCATAGTATTGAAAAAAGAGGAACATTTTACTAATCAGTAAGAAACTGGAAGAAAGGAGGATAATCCCAATATTACAATTTAGTAAGAATAAGCAAAATGATTGTTTCTTAGTGGATTGACAAAGGGAAAAGAAAATATTGAAAACTTTTATTCATAATCCTTAAAAAGCCTAATAAGACCATTTTATAAGACATTAAAACGCCATTTGAGTTTTATAGTAATTTTAGATACAAACTCCCCGCACTAAGCAATTAATTTTCCCTAATGAGATGCTAAATGCCTGAGCCTCATTTGGTGCAACACGTGCGTCAGGGGCTCTTAGTGAATTTCCTCACCATGAATAGATGAGTTTATGGACACAATTTCACCTATTTTCCTTAATATGGCTGGTGGGGTGTAGGGGATTTACCAATCTTTTGTTTCTCTCATTAGTTCATTGTTGACCTTAGAGATTTCTCCCTATAGTGAGAACATTACTAGGGGCTTTTAATCATTCAGCTTTTTATAATTGTTCAGTCAATAGGTGCCCTCGAAGGCATGTTAGGGCCATCTTGTGTGCTTTTGTAGTTTATATTAGGTTTTGTGTGTTTGGGTGTGCATGTTAGCAAACAATTTTTTTTGTTATCTGACTGTTTTCACTTATTCATATATTTTCCCATTTTTTAGATGTAGTTGCAACAGTGTTGCTCCTTTGATTCATTCGTTTTTTAATGAAAATGATACTTTATATCTAATACCCAAGGTATTATACACAATATTAGGCAATTAGCATCTCGTTAGGCAAAATTAATTTCTTACGGTGGGGAATTTGTATCCAAAATTAAGATTCTTGCATGGCGTTTTAATGTCTTATAAAATGCTGTTATTAGACTTTTTAAGAATTATTAATAAAAGTTATTTTTTTTTTTATATTTTCTTTGTCCTTTCACCATCCACTATGAAATAATCTTATAGTGCTGGCATATTCTACAGCGTTGTATAATAGGTAAGCAAGACAAATACTAAATTCTAACAAAACATGATTGACATACTCTAACAGTAGGTGGAGAGGGCCCTGCCTCAAGGAGCTTACAATCTAAAAACCACACCATAAAATGAATGTAACCCCTGTAGCAGTGTACCAACAGACACTGTGTATTTGAAGGAATTCCTAAACAAGCATATGATCTTATTTCAACTCTCTGTAGGTGACTAAGTGCATATAAGTTTGCCACGAGCATCAGTGTCTTGAACACGTAAGTGCTGTGAAAATAAGTGTGTGTTAGTTAGGAAGCTATAACAGTCCGCCACCGCCTTTCCGAAATGCCCAGACCCAAGACTCACAAGGGAGGCAGTATAAGAACCACCGCTGGGGATCTATCCCATTTAGGTGGGGTAAACAACAGGTACAAAATAAAAACAAAGTAGGGGTGGTTCTGTTAGGGAAAGTGGGAAAGGCATAAAATAGAGCATAACTGAATATGAATATAAATAAATAAGGGTTCAATTGGCAACTCACACTTTCGATTCCAAATTCAAGCCTTCAGATTATCTTTGAAGAGATCACTCTCTTTCTTCAGAGCCTTAACAGTCTCAGGACCATTTAAAAGGAAGAAGAAGTGCAAATTTCAAATAAAGTGCATATCAATTTTATTTCCCTACATGTAATTTTAAAACAGCACATGTAGCAGTCAAAAGTATTAAACTGATACCAGTTCACCAGTCCTAAGCATTTCGTCCCTCCAGGGACTTCCTCAGGGACACTGACTGCTCTTATACAAATCAACCAACGGTGCAAAATAGGATACAAATAAGCCTTCCCTCCCCTCTCCCTTGATTGTCCAATAAGTCCTTCAATTGGTTGTAATTCCTCCAGCTGTTTCCAGATTCCTCCCTTGAATGACGTTACCACGCATGAAGTGCAGTGACGTCACCCGGGTCTGGCATGTAGTTCTCTCCGCCCTTTTTATGGCGTCATCGCGCTACTATGCGTGATCTCTTCAAAAATAATCTGAAGGTTTGAGTTTGGCATTGAAAGAGTGAGCCAATTGAACCATTATTTATTTATATTCATATACAATTAAACACTGTGTGGTGCCTTTCCCATTTTCTCTAGCAGCACCACCCGCACTTTTTTGTTTTGTATCGATGGTTGAAGATTAGAGGAAATCTTTGGGGTGAATTTACTGCCTAAGGGAAGTCTCATTCATTTAATATATATTTTTTTTTTTTTTTATCTTCTGCACATTTTTTCACTTTTAAAAAGGTATAATAGATTGTGATTGTTATCACAGATAGGGGTAAACAACAGGTCAGCCTTCAGGTAGCGAGACTGGCAAAAGCACCGTGACAAGCAGTCCAGTCTATCCTGCATTGTGGAACTGTCTCGTAGTAACTGCTGGAATAGAGGATTGTAAAGAGGTGTCTGCCTTCCAAGCAATACCAATCTCCTCCTTTGCTCCTATGGCTAGAGCGGGAGTGTCGGTGATGCAGAGGGTACACCTTTTGAAGACCATTGCTTGGAGATGGGCAGGGGCCATGGCTTCCTCCCAGGACTAGAGCGTAGCAGTCCCTTAATGTCACACTGGACAGCAGAGGCCTTTCTCCCAGCAATGGGTCTTGGACTCTGTATGGGTCGTGGGTTGGATAGCAAAAGCTCCCAGTTTCTCTGTTACTCTCCAAAATGGGAAGGTGCCAACCAGAAAGCAGCAAATAATGCATTAAGCCTGTCCAGAGTAGACAATAGCAAGTCTTTACTTTTGGAGAAGCATGTGGCGTCCGCCATCTTGGTGAGTATATAACGCTATATGCT